TTGATTGAACCTTTTTAAAAATAAAAATGTTAGATTGCTAAGAAAAACTATGAAAATATCTTAAAAGTTGTTTCTGTGAATCATTATGTCCTGTTTTGAATGATTAATCACATTTCAGTTCCTACCCTGTCTTAATCACATCCTCCCTTTGTGACATCCTCCCTGAGTAAATTGCATCCTTCCTTTGTAACAAATCCCTCCCTAAAAAAAGAGAATAAAAGGCTGAGATAGAGTAAGCTCTGCATGCAATGCTAGGCAATGCTGTGCAATGATAGGCAAAATGCTTGCAGATCTGTCTACCTGCCAGCTTGCATCATATCTGTATTTCTGACTTTTTTGTATATATTTCGTCTCTCTCCTCCTCTATCACTTTCGCCACCAGATCTCCCTTCTTCGTGACAGCCACACTTCCTTGTCGAGGCGGGACCCCAACATAGGACCTCAACAATAGAATACTAAACATATCATTTAAGGAGCTCTGGTAGCGTAGTGGTTACAAATCCGGCTGCAAACCGCAAGGTCAGCAGTTCGAAACTACCAGTTACTCCGCAGGAGAAAGATGAGGCTTTCTGCTCCCGTAAAGATTTACAGCCTTGGAAACCCTGTTCAGGGCCACTATGGGTCGGAACCGACTGGATGGCACTTAACAATAACAACAACAAACATACTTAAAAATAACTTAACAAACTATTATTCGTGAGTTTATTAATATTTAAGTAATTATAAACACAGAAGATGAAGTTTAACATAAAATATTGAAAAAGATAAGACGTTTATGAAATATTTAATGGGAGGTTTGAATTTTTTATGATTTTAAGGGCTTGCATATTAATAAAACTACACCTCTTATCAAGCTGCCAATTCAAATAATTCAAAAGCCTCAGAAAGTAAATATTTTGATACATTATGTATTTTAATGAACTTATTACTAAATTTCCATAATAAATTTCCATTTTTATAATTCTAGTCTGTAATTTCAGTTTGTTGCTGAACACATGAATTTCACTAATAGTCTTGAGTGAGCTGAAACTACTTCCTATAAATTTTCTGATGAAATTATTTTTTTAATGATTTTCCTGATGGCACATTTTATTTGTTCATTCCTAAGACTATAAATAATTGGGTTTAAAAGAGGGGGAATTATGGAATAGAACACAGAAAGGACTATATCCTGGATGGATGCAGAAATATCAGATGGCCTTAGGTAAACGTAGAAGCTTGAACTGAGGAAGACTAATACCACAAGAATATGAGGAATGCAGGTGGAGAAGGCCTTTGCTCTGTCTGCTCCACTTGGGAACTTGAGTACAGTAGTAAATATGTGAATGTAAGACCTGATTATGAAGAAGAAACAAACTCCACCAATCACAAGACCAGAGATAAGGATAGTGATCTCATTGCTAAAGGTGTCAGAGCAGGAGAGCTTTAGCAGAGAGGGAATGTCACAGAAAAATTGATGAATAACATTAGAATGACAAAAGGGCAGCCTGAACGTGTTGCCTGCATGGAATCCAGAATAGACCAGACCACTGAGAATGGAAGCCACTGTCATCTGTATGCAGACCCGAGGATTCATGATTACAGGATAGTGGAGAGGCTGGCAGATAGCCACAAAGCGGTCTCGGGCCATAATTGTGAGGAACAGCATTTCCAAATATACGAAGAAAATCACTAGGAAAACCTGAACTACACAGCCAGCCCTTGAAATGACACTGTTGTTGATCAGGAAGTTGACACATGAATTAGGAACTGTTACAGAAATGTAACATGCATCCAAGATGGAGAGATTCCTGAGAAAGAAGTACATAGGGGTATGAAGGCTCTTGTCCAGAGTGGTAGCAATAACAATGAGAAAATTCCCAATGAGAGTCATAAAATACATCAGAGAGAAGGATACAATATGCAAAACTTGTAGTTCCCATACATCAGAAAAGCTGATCAGTAGAAACTCCATCATCATGGTGGAATTGGCCATCTCTTGGTGAGGAAGTTCATATTATGAGTCTCTGAGAGAAACCCTAAACACATGAAGAATTAGATTATGAGTACATAACTTTCAATTATTTTTCTCTTGTCTCTTCTCTATTTCTATTAACTATTGTTATCCTTAGGATAATGCACTGAACCATAAGGTCGGTTTGAACCCAAAAGGTTGGCAGTTTAAACTCACCAGCCACTCCTCAGAAACCCTATACATAGTCAATATGAGTCATAACCTAAACAACGGTACTTAACAACAGCAGTGTATGCATGGGGTCCTGGTATGATACTGTAGGATGAGCACTAGATTGGTAACCACAAGATAGGAAGCTCAGACAGCTAACAGGTCCTAGAAAACTCTATACAGCATCGCTATGAATCAGAATCCACTTGATGGCTCTTAAAAATCATAATAACAATATTTTGAAAGATAAATTATCAGTGTTCTTTAAGCTTCATAATATTCTTATTCCTATTGTATAATGAATGAAGTGAAAATTATGATAATTTTATCATAAATAACATATTTAGTTATCAATTTAAATTATGTATATTGCCATATGTATATGAATATTCCCATGAAAACTGTTTGTTCATGTCAGGTACCATTCAGCTGATTCTGATTCATAGCAATAGGTATGTACCACAGATAAAACACTGCTATGTCCTGAGCTAGTCTCACAATTGCTTTTATATTTGAACCCATTGTTTCTGTCAATGTACCTCCTTGAGGGTCTTTTCCTTTTTTTATTGTTGACCATCTACTTTATGAAACTTGTCCTTTTCCATGGATTAGACCCTTTATGAAAACATGTCCAAAGTACAAAAGACAAAGTATTTCCATTCAAGCCTCTATAGAGCATTTTGGCTGTACTTCTTCCAAAGCATTTGCTTATTCTTTTGGTGGTCCATGTTACTTTCAATATTTTTCCCCAAAACCACAATTCAAATGCGTTGGTTTTTTTTACAGTCTTCCTTATTACTTTTCCAGCTTTCAAATGAATATGAGGCAATTGAAAATATTATAGCTTGTGTCTTGCTTACCTTGGTCCTAAAATTGACATCTTTAGTCTTTAACACTTTAATGAGGTGTTTTGCTGCACATTTGCCTAAGGCAATATGTCATTTGATTCCTTGACTGTTGCTTCCATAAAGATTGATTGTGGCTCCAAGCAAAATGGAATCTTTGACACCTTCAATCTTTTCACCATTTATCAGGATGTTATTTATTGGCTCATATGAGATGCTAGGCATATTGTAAACTGTAGTCTTTGATATTCATCAGCAAGTATTTCAAATCTTTTATTTCCAGCAAGCAAGGTTGTGTCATCTGGATATCACAGGTTGTTAATGAGTATACCAAGAATCCCAATGCCACCTTCATGTTAATATAATCCAGGTTCTCTTATTATTAGCTCAGCATACAGATTGAATACATATAGTGAAAAGATACAGTGTGTATATACACCTTTCCTGATTTTGAGCCTTTCGTTATCTTCTTGTTCTGTTAAAATGACTGCCTCTTGGACTATGTGCAAGTTCCTAATGAGCACAATTAAATGTTCGAGAACTGCCATTCTTCAAACTACTATCCAAAATGTTTTTATGATCCACACTGTTATGAATACCTTTGCATACTCAATAAAGCAAAGTAAATATCATTCTGACACTCTCTGCTTTCAGTCATGATCCATCAGTTATCAGCAACAATCTCACTGGTTCCATATCCTCTTTTGAATCAGGCTTAAATTTCTGGAAGCGCCCTGTATAGATATTTTCAAAAGCTTTGTAATTATCTATAGCATATCATCAGTCAAAACAAGGCCAGGACCAGACTGTGGAACAGACCATCAATTACTCATATGCAAATTCAAACTGAAGCTGAAGAAAATGAAAACAAGTCCACGAGAGCCAAAATATGACCTTGAATATAGTCCACCTAAATTTAGAGATCATCTGAAGAACAGATTTGATACATTAAATACTAAAGACCAAAGACCAGATGAGTTGTGGGATGACATCAAGAACACCACATAGGAAGAAAGCACAAAGTCATTAAGAAGACAAGAAAGAAGGAAAAGGTCAAAAATGGATGTCAGAAGAGACGCTGAAACTTGATCTCCAGCATTAGAGATGCTAATGCAAATTGAAGAAATGAGGAGGTACAAGAGCTGAACAGAAAATTTCAAAAGTCAGCTCGAAAAGATAAAGTTAATATTACAAATAAATGTGCAAAGATCTGGAATCAGAAAACCAAAAAGGAAGAACACGTTCAGCATTTCTCAAGCTGGGGGAACTGAAGAAAAATTCAATCCTTGACTTTCATTATTGAAAGATTCTCTGGGAAAATTATTGAATGATGCAGAAAGCATCAAGAGAAGATGGAAGGAATACACAGTTACTGTACCAAAAGGGAATGGTTAATGTTCAACTGTTTCAAAGGTAGCATATGATCAAGAGCCAATGATACTGAAGGAGGAAGTCCAAGGTGCATTAAAGGACTTGGCAAAGAACAAGGTACCAGGAATAAAAATTGAAATCTTTAAGAAAGTGAGGCAGCACTGGAGACACTCACTCATCTATGCGGAACAGCTGGTAGTTTCAAACTGCTGACCTTGCAGTTCGCAGCCTAATTTGTAACCACTACATAACCAGAGCGCCTTATATTGTTTACTTGAGTCCAAATAACCATTTTTTTTTTTTCCTGATCTGATTTCCCCCAAAATTAGTTTGAGTGGTAGCTTGAGCTCTGAAGCTTAAATCCTAATGATTCTAGAAAATTAAAAGCAGTTTGAGATATCAATTTAATGCTGAGAGAAAAATTAAGATCCTAAGAATGAATTTTTAAATATATATTTTTTCAATTTTTTATGACACAATATTAACATTATCAACACATAGAAACAGCAGACAAGAAATCAAATGTTGTATTGGATTAAACAAGTCTGCTGCATAAGAGCAAAACTGCCAGTTTGAAGTTAAAGTGTGGCTGTCCCAAGCAATGATATTTTAAATAGCCTCATATGAATGTGAAAGTTGGCCAATGAATAAGGAATACCATAGAAACATGGATGCGTTTGAATAATGGTGTTGGAGAAGATTAAAAGTATCATGGACTGCCAGAAGAACAAACAAATCTGTGTTGGGAGGAATACAGCCAGAATTATCCTAGAAGCCAGGATGGTGAGACTTTGTCTCTCATACTTTGGACATATTATCAGAAGGAACCAGTCACTGGAGAAGGCTTCATGCTTGGTAAAGTGGAGGGTGAGTGAAATAGACTAAAACCTACAATCAAATGAATAGGCACAGTGGCAGCAGCAATGAGTTCAAGATTAACAACTGTGAAGATGAATTAGTATTAGGCAGTGTTTTGTTATGTTGTGCATAGGGTCATTATGAGTCAGAATCAACTTGATGGAACTTTACAACAACATAATAAACATATATACAGATATATGTTAACCATGAGATAATGTTTCCAAAAATGAAATTGCAGATATGTTAAGTATTTATATGGAGTTCTAGTATGGTGCTGTGGGCTAATGCGCAAGGTCGGTTTGCACAACAAGGTCAGAGTTTCAAGCTTACCAGATGCTCCTTGGACACCCTCTTCAGGGTCATTATGGGTCGGAATCAACTCCACGGCCCTTAACAACAACAATATGGAGTCCCGGTGTGGTGCTGTGGATAAATGAGCTAGACCAAAAGGTCAGTTTGAACCACAAGGTCGACGATTCAAGCACACCAGCCGCTCCTCGGAAACCTATACAGAGTCACCATGAGTTAGAATCGACTCAATGTCACTTAACAACAATGACAACAACAAATATATATCTATATTTGTTTCATTTCCTGTGGATTATATGTATATATATTTGATGGCTACAATTTCAGTTTTTGCAAACATTATTTCAAGGTTCATATATATCTGAACTAGCTGATTTGAAGGCTTACTTTAAATAATTGAGAAATACACCTTTTTAGCTAGGTAGATTTAAAAATAAATTGTGTGTACTGTTTAAATCACTTGAAAACACTCTCTGGTATACATTGTAAAGTGTAAAATAAAAATAAAAAATGTAAAAGTAGGGTGTGCAGTATCTTTTTTATAAAACAAAAATATAACTATAAGGGGATAGATTGGGAAAAACAATAAGTAGAAATAGATAAAGAACATGAAGATAAAAAAATAAAGAATAACAAATTTAGTTCTCACTGCTGAGGTAGGCAAATAAGGAAGGGGTTTTTATTTTCATTTCTAGTAATTCTGCCACTTAAATGCAAATACTGTTGAATGATGATGCACGGAGGAAATTGTAATCATTGCAGTGAAATGAAATATAATAGAATGAGTGTAAAACTGATGTTCTCCATGTAAACTATCATTCAATACACAATCAAAAATTTTTTAAAAAATACAAATTTAAAAAATTGAAAACATTGAAAAAGAATTACCTGGATCTTGAATCTGTTGTTACTATATTTTGCTTTATTAAAATTAAATGAATATAATATTTTTGGATAATTATCAATGCAATTCCCTTAGTGCTATTTGTTAGGATGCTGTCCTTATAGGGCTGATATTGTGAGATTGCTTTCTAAGATTTAACTGGAACATATTCTAATGAAGCCTCATTTTTTTTTTCCCAATAGCTCATGTGTATACTTTCCCCAATTATAGATGTGTAAATTTAGAGACTGTAAAAATGTATACTCCTTTGATTTGTTGTTTAGTGCCGTTCAAGTATGTTCTCACCCATAGAGACCAGGTATAGGGTTTCCAAGGAGTAGCTTGTGAGCTTGAGCCACCGAACTTGCAGTTCAAACTAACTTTGCAGTCCAGTGCATTAACCCACAGCACCACAAAATTTATTTTGGTGGTTCAGATTAAAAGACAAAGTTGATGGATTTATGATGCCCACTACATGTAATTCAATCTGTGTGTTATCAATGTTGTTGTTGTTGTTAAGTGCCTTC